CAGCTGTTGCTTCTCGTTTCCTGCGGCCACTGAAACCAGGTTAAAAAGCCTTAACCACATCACCTGCATGTGATAGTGCATACAGATGAAGACAGCTTTGTGTTCTCACATTCTCTCTTGCTTTGAGACGCAGACCATGTGAAGATGAAGGATGCAGGAGGGGTGGAGGAAGAGGAACCTTGGAATGTGAGTGAGGCAAAGGACACAACCTTGATGGAGTGGTTTCTTTCTTTGCTTTCTCACTCCTTTTTCCTCGTTTCAGCTCATGGGCATGGAAGCATGCGCGGGTGGAACCGAAGAATGCCTCGAGAGGAGAATGATGTCCGAGGCCCATTTGGACTACATCTACACGCAGCGCCACCCTCAGCCATAGAAGAGGAAGGCAAGAAAGAAGCAAAGCCAGGATGAGCAGTGATGGGATCTCAACAAGTTGCTTAAGAGTATCTAATGCTTATTAAAACCATCTCTCACCGAACAATGTCATATATAAATGAAGGTGTGATGCAATCACTAGGTGGCATTCAGTGCTGTCAAAGGTGTTTTGTATGGCTTTGTTACCATGTAATGTCAGTGAGCGCAGGACAACTTGAGCCAACACCACCTTACTAGTATAATGATATAAGTTGCTTCCACTATTCCTGCTCCTTGTCTTGTCAAAAGGTTGTGGTTTCTCGTACATATAAACATATATAGTATTGCCATCGTAATATTCAAACAACAGTACATACATGTCTGAAGAAAGACTTACAGATTCTCCTGCATATATTTTCTGGTTCAGGACCTGAATCATCAGACCACTACAACAATGTCAACGCATTCATACAGGTATGGACCAAAAATCCAAGACAAAATCTCTTTCATTAATACAGATGCAGAGATGAAACTTTGATGGTTACCACGTAGGAAGACACTAAGAAAATATCTGTCAGAATCTTATCATAAAAGAAGTGGGCAACTCTAATAGCTAGGGAAACCAAAGTGGGAGTTTGAAGAGTGATTTATGATGTCCCACCTACGATTTATAATGTACAAGGCAGTCAGATATGTAGACCTCAGCAACATCTTCCTATTTCAGCTCAAGCATGGGGTTTAGATTAAGAAACTTCTAGGCGTTGTTACCATGTCGCAGGGGGTCAATTTCCATGGTGAAGTTTGCTTTACTTCCATTGATGCAGTAGAAAGTTTGGATCCGGCAGATCTTTTGCCTCTTACCACTTCAAATCAAAAGTAGGCAGCTACTTTTTGTAGAAGTGCTTACACCATTATCAATGGTGGTGAAGTGCTGCTGGTAGTGGTGGCAGTGGAAGCGGCGCAGGGAACAACTCCGTCCATAGGGCAGGTAAAGATGGAAACCAGATGTGGATCTTCTCGAACTGTACTTTGCTTGAAACTCAAACTAATCCTACGTTGGCTATGAACTGTATGAGTTGCTACTAACTCAAAATGCACTGTCTGACTATCCTTTTTGGAAGATTAATTCTGTGATTTTGGACTTGAATCATGATGACAGATTTGGTATAAGGTCAACTGATCCTGGTGGATGGATCACATTGAGACCTACTATGCAACACAGTAAATTTCCGGTTCGATGGAGACAAGCACCATGACCAGTGACAGCTTGACCGTCCATGACAATTCGATGTCCCACATCACTTTCGGAAGTCCTAGCTATCCATGCGGATTCACATGCAATGTGTGTGAATCTGATTAGAACATCAATGATTTGACCCGATGAGATTTCGATGCTCCAAAATAATCCCATATCTAGTGAGAAAATACATCTATAAATAGAATACTTACTTCCGAGGGTTTGACTTGTGTAGTTTAGTTTTCATGCTTAAGTTGTGAGACACTAGCCCAAAATTTTAATAGATAGAAGGGGAGTAAAGCCCTGACAAACAATGTCATGCTAGCTAAGGTTATGTGCTACCTATCTAAACAATGCATGGCTGACAGCCTGATTCCAAGAGAGCAGAACAAGTGATGGGGCATGACCAGGATCCAATCAAGCAGACTGAGTTTAGGGCGATTTGGTAAGGTCATGATACCCCTCTGCCTCTGCATGCTAACCACATCTGGGCCAACCAAAAGCAGTGATGGGTGTGTGAAGTCCAGTCTCAGTTTTTTCTTCTCCTGAACTAGAAATATAGTTGGATAATCATTGCTAGCATGCAGAGAAAGCATAACCTAACAAGGAAAAAATAATAGCTTACTGGTGATGGGTCGCACCACTACAGCTGTAACTTGGCATGTTATCATGGTCCCAATAATCTCAAATTCCTCTCAAGTCTTGGTGTCAAACAAATGATCATATAAGCATGTGCTTCCAGATACACTGCTTTCCTTACTGTGCCCTACATGAGAAAATGATGCTCAAATGAAAGAAAGAGTACCAATTACTCCATCTAAATATCTCAAGCAAGGCTGGATCATGAAAGCGAGCTTATATTGTTTCATCCTATTTCTTATAAAAGGAAAAGGGAAAAATGAAAACCTAGAGGTGAGAATTGCAAGCCATCATCGCCTTAGTTCCAACTTAAAAGTGAAAAAACCTAGAGGTGAGGATTGCAAACCAACATCGACTTTAGTTCCGACTTAAAAGGGATCACCAGTTTCTCATTAATACGTGAATGAATATAGGCATCAGAAAACATCAAGAAAGCAATAAAACACAGGTACCGAATTCCTAACCAATTTGACAAGAGAGGGACATGTCAACTAAAAAAAGAAGGCAAACCAAGTGTCTGCCAACATGGGAGATCGGGGATGATCAATATGCATTGTTTCATCCCCCAAATAGAGAAGTCATTTCTGTGGCTAGAACCCTATCACCCAATTCCCAAACTATTGCACACTTTAGGGACAGGGCAACTGCTACAAACAGATAAAAAAAAATACCGAACAGATTATTGCGTGTAATTCTAGGAAAATAAAAGCAAGCAATGTGTCCCTACCTATATTTATGGTGTGCTTTTAGGACAGATTCTACAAAATATAAACACCAATACAAAAGGAAATGATATTCACCAACAACAAAAACAAGATTAAGTTTGTAGACAGGCAAATATAAGCCCAAGTGAACAAGTTATCGTATCCATGGGAGTATTAAATTCTTAATAGACTTAATTGGATGTGTTTTCAATTAGCTTTAACAAATCAGTCTAAAAGAAAAAAAAAAAGGCAAATGCCACTTCTACACCTGAAAAAGAGGTTTGTAAAAAAATGAGTCCAATTCAAGCTAAAAAAGAGTGCCCTAAAACCTTTGTGAACGCCGAAGCTTGAGACTCCATAAATATTTAGAGAAACCAAAAATGATGCTAAAATCTATGAACGAATAAACTTTTGATCTCAAAAGCCAAGTACACACGACATCAGTGGTAAGCACTTGTAATTCCATAAGTACAACAATAGAGTAGGCTAACTGCAGAGGCAAACTTACCTAAAATTTGTGTTTCTAAATTATTTACAGCAAATATTCTTCAAATGTAGCCAATCACACAAAATACATGCTGGGCAAAGCAGATAAAGCAAAGAGTTCTACAAACAGAAGTATGTTTGCAGGGGAGATAGACTACATCGACTATGAAAACCATACCTGTTGGCATGCACACAATGAAAAAAGCAAACAATCAGCCACACCTGGATCCACACCTTGATGAGCAGCTTGGCGAATAATCATTGTTTAAACAACTATCTTGTCCTGCAAATTGCCACTGACACAAAGACACACAAATAACAAAGTAACAGTATTAACTAAACAAAGTTCAAACTACAAGAACTCTCATGTGACATGATTGTGTCTCAAATTATTATTTCAAATTTCAATAAACTTTGACAAAGAGATGTCCAAATATACGATTTTTAACACTAATTCAACTTATGTCACCTTTCAATATAAGATACTAATGCAACAAGTATGTCAATTAAGAAAAAGAGTTTAGATATTGTGCACTAGAAGGAAACACTTAAAAAGAAACATTCTAAAGGATACATGAACCAAACACAAAATGGTTATTTCTTGATGGTTCTGACATTAATCCATGCCATTGTGATGTTATAACTGTTTATGGTGTCAAAAGAAATCGACTGCCAAAAGCACCCAAGCAATACAAGCACCAAGAGTATAAATTCCGATGCTCAAAGTTCTCTGTTAAAATTTATGCAAAAGTAGGTTATGATGTTAGATATCTGGAAGGAAAGCCAAACTAGAAGTTTGTGATATTATCATATCCACAGCCATATCATCAATTTCACTTCCTGGACTAGATTTGGTGGAACAGGCATTCTAGTATCACCCTTCCTCTTGGATAAGTTTCATGTGTTATCTCTATACATGCTCGCATCCTAATGGAAGTATAAATCTTAAAATGGACCTCCAAGACATACACGATCTGCCTCCACCAGAAACAATTCACAAATTTTAACTTGTTAGATTTATCTGTCACAGAAGAGATATACACAGGCACATTGATGGACCAGCATGCGATAAGAAATTTCTGGAAAATATAGGGCCTGTAGATACTCCTTCAAGTGGAAAAATAAAAAAATAAAACTGAGAACTCATTGATGTCTATCATTAACAATCCTGGAAGCTGAAGAGGTTGACTTGTTTGAATGATGTCTCATAGAATTTGGTTGACATACTCAATTGTGTCCTGCAATTGTGGATGTTGGAAGGCAATATACCCTATATTTCAGGAGTCTTTTGCACTGGAGTACCCTTTTTTCCTAAGAGTAATAAAACACGAGACTTACAGGCAATAAACTTTGTTGCTTTTCATCCTAAAGGCATGTTTGGCAAAGGGCCTGAGCTTGAAGGACAACAACATTATCATAAGACAAATGCCCAGACCTACACAAATATATACCTGTAGCCATTGACATATTCCAATCACTGTAAGCTGACTTTCTGATCCATTAGACCCTGGAGTTTCCACAGTTCAATTAGGTGTTTGATGTTCCGATTGAGGGTCATAATTAGAACTCGTTGATGCACCAAAACACATCCTCCAGTAATTAATGAATACTTGATGGGGTCTGGAAGAGGTGATCATACATCAATCTTCAAAATGCAGTGAAACATTCAAAAGAAAATAAGTGAAAAGAAATATGGAATTTTAACTGCCATTGTTATAACTAAGATGTGGATTATTTGGAAAATCAGAGAACAGAGAAAACCAAGAAAACACAGCAAATGCAGGCATTCTGGGTTTACAAACTAGTGACAAGTTGTCACACAAGATTATGCAGGGACAATATAAAACTCAGATGTATCAGTTGTTCTAGGAAATTATGCCCATATGCAGAATTCGAAAATAGCATACTATCTTTGCAAATACTTCAGCAAGAATGCAAAGAACAAGGAGAACCATAATATCATCATAGATGAATGGACGTGCTTGTTGACTGATTGACCTAATAGAAACTGCCATGCCACGAGTACAGAACCTTCAATGATGACACATCCACTAAGAAAGTTTTTACCAATTGAAACAAGAAAGAAGAATCACATCAGCGCCAATAAGATTCAAGAGGATTAGTTACTAGAACTCTCTATGCACTTCCCTCACTTGAACCAATAGAACTACCTGCATCACCAACCATCTTTATTATGCTTAATACTTCGCAGGACTATTTGTTGATTTGGAGCTCATTTCATCCGACACATGTTCTTCCTCAAAATCCTTCCAAAACTGAAAAAACCCTTGATCATTTATGCTTGCATTAAAGCTAACAAAAAGTTAGCTAACAAATAGCTTGAGTAACCAGCACCAATATGATCTCCTTAAGCAGAATTTGAACAAACAACACTATTTACTGCCGTCATTTTACTCTGCCGAAGGCCACCAAGCCCTAACAGGGTCAAATCCATCTATCTTTTTACATCTATAGCCTTTCATCAGTTTGAGGAAATGGCAACGCTGAAGTTCCAAGACAGAAATTACCTCCCCATAAACAAATTCATTCATCCACAAGTTCATTGATCAAACAACGCTGTCGAAAAAGGAAAACAAATAAGAAACAAATTGTACAACGGAATTAACGGAAGCACAAAAGCATATACAAAATGAATGGATGTGAATGAAGAACACAGTGTGATCCTACAAGACCTCAGCGCCCATTAACATGGCAAAGTGGGAAGTTAAACCAGAAAGGGAAAATTTGCACAGAGATTGTACCCACATAAGCATTGACTTGGCGGACGAAGCCAGAGCGGCTCTTGGCGTTCGCTCGGCCCACACCACCGCGACCGACGAGATCGTAGGCCTCGGAGAGGACGAAGCGGAAGCGGAAGCGGACAAGTCGGGTAACGGAGCAAGGGCAGGAAACAGTGTTGGGCCTAACAAGATATATCACGGTGGCCATCCTCTCCACCCGTGTTCTTGGTGCCGTTAAACGAAAATGAACGGACCATGATTGATCAAGCGAGACCTAAGTCAACAAGATATGGAACGGCTGCCATCCTCTCTACCCTTGTTCTCGGTGCCGGTAAATGAAAATGAACGGTCCATGATTGATCAAGCGAGACCTAAGTCGGATGAGGATCGATTTCTTGTACCCAATTGTCAAGTACTGTTAACCGTGATATTAATGAGACAATTTAATTTGTACGTGACAGATGTCACGTAATCAGCGCCATGCAGAATGGGCAAGCGTTATGTTTGATGATCTTATAGGGGTAGATCAGTAGTCCACATTTCTAATTATTCGGATTGGGTTTGGATCGATTCAGATTGGGTCCGACTCCGATCGGCTCACCTGGTGATTGCAATATGTGGCGAAAAGTCGAACAGGCCCTGTGCAGAAAAGGTGACCCTGATTCGGTAAAACTCACCAGGTGATACAGGCGGAGGAGAGAGAGAAAGGAGAGATCGTCTTGTTGGCGAGAGAGGGACGACAACGTGAGATAATTAATGATAATGAAAGAAATAAAGATAGCCCAAGTAATAATGTGAGAGTAAGTAGTAAGAACTGTTCCCCTATCTCTGTCGCATCTTCCGCGGCCGCCTCCTCTCTCTGTCTTCTTTCGCTTCCTTTTTCTCGTATTCTTATCTTTCTTTCTTCCGTAATAATTCGTGTTAAATTGGTATTGTTTTGAGCTGCTGTAGAGATTTGGAGGAGGTGTTGCAGAAGAGACGAAAGGGAGGAGGTCGACATGAAGAGGAGCAGAAGATTCCAGTCTTCTTGATGGCTTCGTCTCCTCCTGTCAAGCGCCGAGTCCACCGGGTCTCTGCCGCTTCGACTCGCGTCGGGGCCTCCAAAGCGCAAGCGGCCTTGGCTAAGATCATAGACATCATCTCCACCGTCACTGCTCCGCGTGCAGAGACCGAGGCCCCCCGCCATGGTTGCGATCGAGAGACCGCCCGCGGGACGCTGCCGCCGGCGAGAGAACACGGCTTCGGCGTCGATCTGAGGCTCAGGTTGGGCCCGCCGCCGGAGGTTGGAGGAGGATCGGCCGAGGGAGACGGCCCCACGGAGCAGAGCGACGTCGTGGACGACTCCGCGCCGGCGGACCCCGGGCGCGACGGGGAGAAGGAGGCCTCCGTTGCGGTCGCGCCTGCGTCGGCCGTGAAAGAGAACTCGTTGTCGCCGGCGGTGTCCGTTGCCGGCTGCGGCGGCGGCGCTTTAACTGCGGCGAAGAGCTCGGAGGGCGAGTGCGATCCGGATGAGGAGAACGGCGGAGAGAGCCACGAGGACACAGCAGCAGACGGCACCAAGGAGGCGGATTCCGCACCACAAAAAGAAACGAAGGGAACCGAAGGGGCGGACGGCGAGATTACCGCCACCATCGTCATCACCACGACCACAACCAGCAGCAGAAGAGGCCGCCGAAGCGATGGTTGCTTAGACTTGCTGCTGGAGGCGGTTCGGCAGGTCTCAGGCGGCCTCTTTGACGACGACGGGCCGGAGGCCAAGAAGGCCATGCCTGCTGCAGCTGGGGAGGAGATGGCACCCGCGCCGTCGGGGAGAACAAGGAGGTCCACCGGCGACGGCGGTGGGGGGAAGAAGCGGAGGGAGACGGACGAGTGGACGATCCCGTTCCATGTCTACCAGGAGGACACTGCGCCGATCGTGCGATCGAAGCGGGGAAGGAGCCAGGCGCTGCCGTCAAGGTACCGCGACTCCATCCTCGACCCGTGGAAGAAGTCGCCCGCCCTCACCCGCCACTCGACAGGGCGGCGCGGCCACGAGAGTGCACCTGCCGCCACCCGGTGACGTCACTGGAGCCGCACCAACGCTTTCGAGCAGACGCAGTCATGTCTTTCGTTTTCCTTTTTCCTCCCTTCCCTTACGTAATAATAATATGTTCGCTGTTTAATGGAGGAGAAAGGTAAACAGTAAGGTCGTAATCGTAATCATGAGCTGCTGCTGCTGCAAAGCCTGGTTGCAGTCACTAACTTCACATGATTTAGTGCCGCCGTTGTTTGTAACGTGCAGTCTATTTGTGGGGAACAACGCAGTTAACACAGCGGCATGTGTGTGAGAGCAGTGCCTGCTTAGCCCTTCGGGCGACCTTTCTCGCTCATTGACTTTGACTTTGACGAGGAAATAGCTGCCCTTGGTGTGCGGCGTGCAGGCGCGGCCGTTGGTCGAGCCTGCGACCATCAGCTCAACAAGGGCTGTTGTTCATGGCAGGCCATTGGAGGCTCCGACCATTACGTACAGCGAAGTCTCCGGTCAAATCCCTGTTCTAAGATCAAGCAAGCTATCGCTCCTTCGTGAGTAAAGAGATGTGGAAGATGCTCTGACACAGTCTCCTGTGGCAGCACACTTGTTCTTGAACTTGCATCGGTCTCCAGGAATGATGTTTTGGCGGCCTTCGCCCGTGAGGAAAGATGTCCCAGATGCACTCTGGCAAGTATGATCGATCGAGTCTCATACAGGCTGTGGAATACTAGCTGAACCTGCAAACAAGAAACAGGTTGACTCATTTCGAGAACAAGCTTAGCATCCGCTGCATGCACATTGCCCCATCACCCTTGAACTGGAAATGTTGATATATCTGCATCTTGTAGGGAATTCCAATGTCTTCAAGATCTCAATCCCATTTCTGCTTACCAGTTCCTGGTTACAGAGACAACCGATTGGATCAGTGAGAATTCCTTCCACCCCCAGATTGCCTTATGTACTCGTATGACATAAGGAGCAAATCTACTGAAAGACTTCTTGTGTCAAAACATTCTCGTCATTCGTTTGAAGTTCATTAAAAACCATGTAAATAAGGAAAAACAGAAGTTCAAACATCTGGTAATTTATGCCTGTCACCAACATAATTATGTCATCCATCGTCTCCTTCCTCAACCTTTTTCTGTCGTCTAGTCATACTTTAGACTTGGTGATCCATAAGATACAACTCTGCGTCAGTCTGACCAAACATGTCAGTTTTCCTTCCCCCACCCAGAAGATGCAGAATCACAAAGGAAATCGATGCCCAGACCAAACCCACAGACTAAGCACCACGAGTCAAAGTCTCGTAACCAGATCAGACAAAACAAGATCGTTTTCGTTATGACACGAACTTCTTATTAGATTCACAAACGCACATGAATTCCCCCTTTGATGGAAAACATACAATGGATCCACACAATGCCATTCAATGAATTTAGGTTGAAAAAGAAACACTTTTGTTTAAATATACTAATCAAGGATAAAGGTAAGCTCATTAAATATGCAACAAAAGACGTCAAGATCGAACTTTACATGTCAGCTCAAATTGCTGAGATCAATACTTGATATTCGAATCGTATGGAACAATGAAATCCCGAGGGCAACGCTGCATCGGAAGCACACCTCAGGTGAATGGGAAGAGGAATCACCGGTGTGGATGAGGTGTGAGGGTTATGGTCGACCGAGGAGGAATAGAAGAGAAATGAGTTTAAAGAGATAGTGACCCGATAACCCAAACCCGACATTGTTAGAAGTCAACTGAGGAAGAAGCTAAACTTGCTGCGAAAGAGGAATTGCATCGCATGCAGACTCTAGAATAATAGATATATCATTTTTGAGTTCTGAACTGAATAGAGATAGCTTTTTTGCATCCACTAGTTTGCATGCAAAGTGCCCCACCTCTACTTAGGTAGAACCTGTTAACCATAGTGTATATAAAGAGATACTTGCCACAGACACTCCCTCTCGAGTAGCTTTGTTCTAAAGTCTACATGCGATGCAATTCCCCCCTTCGCAGCAAGTTTAGCTTCTTCTATTTTTCACTTCTAACAGGCGCCTGCCGTCACCCACTAAGGCCGGACCTTTCGACCAAGACGTAGAACCACCGGCCACGCTGTGAGGTCACCGGAGCCCCACCAATTCCCGAAATCGTGACGTTACGTTCCTTCTCCTATCTACAATACGTAGAGTAGTTGTTCTATATCGAGTGCATTGTTTTTGTTTTGTTAAGTAAGCTATTAGAAAACCATTGTGCTCATCAATACAGCAGAAGGGTTGCATGCGTCCTCCTGCACAGCAACACAGCCAATCGTCGAAGCATTAGGTTGTGTTCCGCACTGCTATGACTGTGCACATCAGATGACTTGGAGAGAACAGGAGGCTGTGATCTGCAAAGTTCTTGCATGAAAGAACCTGATACCGTACCCTCCAGAGTAACTTTGTATCCATAAGACGAAAGTGTTGTTGGATCAACATATGATAACGCTTTGGTGGCTCATTCAGCAATAGAATGAACATCCATTTCTTTAATGGAAAATAACAGCATACACATTCACATCTTATTTTTTTATCCCACAAAAAGATAGCTTATATCAATCCCTTACTCTTAATTTATGATAATGAATGAAACGCACCACCATACTAAATGGTTGGTTATAAATTATTTTTATTATATTAAATTATGCACAAATTATTTATTATAATATTCTAATTATAATGAACTCATAAGAATATAATACATATATAATTATTTTAAAATTAATAAATTAATAAATCAATTATCTCATTAAAATACTCCCTCCCTTACTACATAATCCAAATCTATTTATCTATACTTTTGGTACCTAAAATTTATGCAGTTATTTATTATATATATATATATATTTATTTATCAATATTGTGGAAGGCCGAACGCTTGTACGGACAGAGGCGGAGTCGCGGACCGATCTTTTCCATCGTCAGATTTGCTCACGAATCTAAAAGTCATACCGTTACCGTTAGATCGTATCAAGTCTCCTTCAAGTTTGATGGACCTGATCTCATATCGAACGGTGAAAAGTTCGACCGTATTCGAAGGCTCGTCTTCGCGACTACGAGCTCGCAAGATTTCTTTTCGGCGGCGAGCGTCCTCCGACGAGCCGTCGAGTGAGATGCCGCCCAAAGAACGGATCGCGTACTTCTACGACGGTAGTCTCCTCTCCTCCTCCTCCTCCTCCTCATCTTTCATCCTCCAAAAATAATGCTTCTTTGAACGATCAAAATTAGTAAACCCTAAATGGTTTCTATTTCTCCGGTTTCCATAGCGCGGTGCGTTGATTTGCCCTCATTGTTGTACCTTATTTATACCGAAATGAACTCGTTTTCATCATAATTTTCACTCTCGAGGTGTTGTCCGTGGTTTCTTGATATCGTCTCGTCCATCTCACACAAGTCAAACGAGTCGAGAAGTCGCCGTGTAAAATTGCATTGGTTTTCACGCACCAGCTTGTGGAACGGATGCCAACCCTCCGATAAGTGCCGGCCGGGTCCTGAAGGTGATATTATAGAGCTGGATAATCCCTTGTTAACGTTAAACTCCTCTGGCTAGGGAGTTGCCCCCGTTTGGAAATCTGTATGGAGCTTTCTTTATTCTTAATGCGAAGAGCATAAGAGGGAGAGACGAATGAACTTTTTTGTTCTTTCATACTCGTTTGGCGAAATGGCTACATGATTTAAATTAGCAACTCGTTTCAGTCATGACTAGTTCAATCAAACTAGGGTTATGGCTAGAACACAAACACATAATGCTGGCTTTAGCACTTTGTGAAGGTCATAGTTACCTGGACCCCTCTACCCTCCTTGGAACACAATTTCGGTTCCTCATTTTGATTTATGATAGTTCTATGTCTTGGATTACTAGTATAGTTATCAGGGATGCCAAAATTGAAGATTCAATCTCGTCTGTTTCACTCCATCGAGAAACAAATATGTAAACATTCATAGTTTAGAATCCTCTAGAGAATCTTGTATTGTTATTGAAAGAGGAAACTTGCTGTTTAGCATGTAGGGACTGATCAAATCATGATTAATTCCAACAGGATAAGGTGAGGCTAGAACACATTAACATAAATGCCGACGTCAAGGCTTCATATAGGGGGGTATTCGATCTTTCATGTCTTCTGTCGTACTTTAAACTCTACTTTTTCTCAAGTTGTTCTTTGACCTTTGCTGAACTTCTAAGATCTGTAAACACAATCTTTGTGCTAGATAAATAACTAGGGGATTAAGCATGAGGTCATGCTTTAAATTGATCTGTGTAAACTTGTTCAGTTAGTTATGCCTTATTATGATCAGTCATTTATATATAATATAGGCGATTAAAAGTTGTGTTTTGACCTTTTGAAGTTTTCTTCTAGATTTCTTGAAGTTAATATTTTTTGTAATTTTCATGTACCAAATTTGCAGGAGATGTTGGGAATGTATATTTTGGACCAAATCATCCAATGAAACCACATCGTTTGTGTATGACACACCATCTTGTGCTTTCATATGGTCTTTACAAGAAGATGGAGATATATGTTAGTCTTGGTAGTCCTTTTCCAGGTTCTGGTATTTCTTTAAGAACATAGAGTTTTTATTTATAACATATTATTTGCAGCGGCCACACAAGGCATACCCCGTGGAGCTTGCCCAATTTCATTCGGCAGATTACGTGGAATTTTTGCACCGGATAAGCCCTAATACACAACATTTGTTCGCTGATGAGTTAGCTAGATGTATGACAGAATGAAATTCATGTATCTTGAAGTTTATTTTATACAATTTTTTAAATATTTTTGTACAATTTAAATAATGATTTATAACTTTTGTTTCATGAAATATTGGTTTTGCCATGTTTGTGTAACTGTAAGGTGAACGTCACTTCCAGCTTGGTTAAGCATAATAACTTTTAACCATTAGCAATAATTTGCACCATATGTTGTATTTCCATGAATTGTATAATAACAGTATGGGAAAAAAAAAAATCCTAAATTTGGTTTGTGATAACCAGTTAGCACTAATAAACTTCCTAGAATCATATTAAAGCTTTGTTGGTTGCCTTAGTTAGCAGTGAAATCAGGTTACTGAGTTTTTCATTTTGACAGAAAGGGTCTAAGATGTAAGGTAAGCTATAATG